AAAGCCAGTTTTGGATAACTTTAAGATCTGAATCTGTTTGGGTCTGTTTCTTTTTTGTTTTCTCTGTTTGGTTTCTGGATATGTGATTTTGTTTTCTCACACAACTAGTAATTTATTTGAATGCTAAATATTGTATATAAAAACTATAGAGATAATCTGAGGCTCTGAATGATTTCATCTTCCTCAAATGATTCACTTTTGCTTCTGCTGGGAATTGTAGCAGGGGCAGATCACCTTAATTGAGCTTATGACTGAGCTGGATCAGAGCTGAGCTTCAGCCTGCATGACGGCTGCTCGCCTTTGGTCTTAGCCATTTAAGTTCCAACTAGATGTTTGGAGTTTAACAGCTTAATCAAAGTGTAAATTGCATAACATAATATTTGCTATTGTAAGTATGCAATTCAACGAATTTTGATAAATTTGTGGAGTTGTGCAACAATCACCTTGATCCAGCTTTAAACATTTCATCCTCCCCACCCAGATAGTTCCTTTGTGCTCATTTTCAGTCAATCTCTGCTTCTACCCCCAGCACCAAGGCCTGGGGCCTTTGCCAGGCTCCTCTCCTATTCAGTAGTCACTGAACATAAATGTTCTCCAGATCAGGAAGGTGGTGGATGCTCCTCAAAGCCTGCTACACTCTGTCTTCCCTTTTTTCCTCAGCCACTTAGCCAATGATATACAACTGGCAAATGACTTAGAGGCAAAAGTGGTCTGTTAGATCTCTTTTTTCTCGTTGAGGTCCCAATCCCTTAATTTCTGAATGTCTCAGTGGCTCCAAGTGTCTTCAAACATTTATTTTTATATTTTATTAAGTTTTTCTAGTTGTTTTCGGTGGGAATGTTGTTCTGCAAAACTTAGTCTATTAACTCCGAAAGCCATTTATATTTGTCAAAGGTGAGGTGCAATTTTGTATGTTTGTATTTTAGTTAGAAGCCTTTTGAAGAAAGGAAGAAGTGAACCTCTCTGTCTTTCTTTCTTTTTTTTTTTTTTTTTTTTTGAGACCGAGGCTTTCTTGTGTCACCCAGGCTGCAGTGCAAAGGGGCGACCTTGGCGCACTGCAACCTCCACCTCCCAGGGTCAAGTGATTCTCTTGCCTCAGCCTTTGGAGTAGCTGAGATTACAGGCACGCGCCACCACACCCAGCTAATTTTTGTATTTTTGGTAGACAAAGGGTTTCACCATGTTGGCCGGGATGATCTCAGCGTTTTGACCTCATCATCTGCTCGCCTTGGCCTCCCAAAGTGTTGGGATTACAGGCATGAACCACCGCACCCGGCCACATATCTCCTTTTCTAAGAGCTCTACCCCACTTCTGCCTTTGGTCCACCATGGGACAGAGTCTTCACACGTTTGACCTTTTACCACAAGGAGGAGCTGTGACTCTACTGAGATTAAGGGAACTCAGAGGAAGGACAGAGCATTCTCCGCATGGGAGACAGTTAAAAGAAATGTTGGGTTTATTTACAACAGGGGAAAATGTGGTCTGCAGAAGCTGTGTTAATGCTGAAATGTGAGAGGTTAAATACAGATTGTTCATTTGCATTGCTGTGCAGGTGTTTTGTTCTAGCAAAGAGCCTAGACTGCCAGATTTGTTGCATGTGACCCTGCATGGGATGAGAAAGGGGAAGAATTTGAGATGGGAAAGAGGAGCGCTCACAAGTAGATGCCAGGGAATGACCTGTTCCTGAGAAGAATAAGAGAAGCTCTGGACGCTGGGCCTCTGCTCCAGCTCAATCCTGCCAGGAAATGACTTCCTGAGACCTGGGCAGTGAGCCTGACAAATCAGGGCTTCCTCGAGGGATATTGCAAAGAGAGTAATCACCAAGGGAAATCTACTTATCAGACCAAAGAATACCTGGAGCACCATTCCCCTGACTCTAAATGATAAAAGACTTAAGCTAGAAAGAGTTTTCTTTTTTCTTTTTCCTCCTCTGAATGTTCCTCTAAGTTCTCGGAGCAAGAATTTCTAAGTATAGGACACCCGTCTCCTGGGTCTGAGCAAATAGTTCATCAAAACAGCATCACCAGACTCCCTTCCAGCTTCCAGCTTCAACATCTATCCCTGTCTCCCAAGACCCATGGAAGCTAGACTTGTCCAGATGTCAAAAGATGAGGCCAAAACAGCTGCAGATGGGAAAGAAGGTGGCGTGGACAGACCTCCAGGATGGACATCTGAAACAGGCTCTTCATTTTGTTTTCACTACAGGCTCCTGTTTCACCTTTTCAAAAAGCAGTTGAAATTTCCCTTACATCTTGGAAATCCAAAAATACAGCAAAGATACATTTTATATAGGCTCTAGCTATTCATCAGGATGGAGCTTCAGAGTATCTCTATACTCTACCAGATATATTCTAGCATGCTGCCTGGAAGTGAAAGGCTAGCCAGACAGTTTAACAGGAAAACCATTAGCCATTCCGTGGAGGTTAATTTTGCAGTTTATTTTGGAATGGAAAAAAATAATGTATTGAAGATAGGAAAATTATGTCTACATGCTAGAATCTAAATTTCTTAACTCTCTGTAGTATGGGCCATTTGCAAATCCTCTAAAGTCATAAAACCAGACTATGTGAAACACACACTTCTAAGCTCAATATTAAATATTTAAAGTGACTACCATAAGAGTTGGAGAGTCAGGGTCCCCTTGGGCTTTTCAAACTCCTACCCTCACAAAAAATCTAGAACTTCTTCTCAGTAACAAAAATAAGATGACGTATAATCATTTTTCATTGTTAATAAACGATCACTATCCATCATGGCATTGCATTTAATTTGTGTTAATTGTTGCTAACAAATGACTACAGATTAAACATTTGTGATCCATATAATAATAGAAATAATAAATGTCAACTTTTTAAGTGGCCAAGAGAGATTTTAATAGCTCAATAGGCAAATAGCATGAACTGATGCTTTGCAAAGGTGAGGGACACATGGCCTGTGACAGGATGTTGTATCTGGTTTTGGTCTAAATTTCATTTGGAAAACTGGAAGCTGCTGGTCGACCTGCAGGGATATGATCCCATGAGCTGAGATGCATGTTGACATTTTTATTTTTGTCAGCATGAAAGAATATTTTTTAAATCGGGGCCATTGCCTCCGGTAACTAGCAGCCAGCTGGGTCAAATGGAAGTGAAACCATGGCCCTTGTCCCGCTGCAGATCTGGAAACCCAGTGATGAGCATCAGTGAACAGAGAGATGGAATCAGTTGAAATGAAATCGTCATAAGATTGTGCTCAGGAAACTAAATTTGACATAATTGGGCACAAGAGATTGTTTATCTATATTATTCCACCAGAGGAGACAGCACAGTTTTCCCGTGAGTTCTTGGGGAGCTGGAGGAGGGAAACAGCTCTGCCAGGTGCAGTGGTTTCCTCATGAGAAGTGTAAAAAGAAGAGGCAGAGATGGAGAGTTTGATTCTACAAAGATGGAAGATTTTGCTTATAAACATATCAACACACTTGCCTTTCCCGCAAAGACGCAAATTTTGGGGAACTGCCCAAATATAAGACGGGGTTAAAATATTGGACAGCCAAAAATATGACTCGTGTTCAAAATATGCATCATGATATCATTCAGTTCAATGTGTTCTACTTCTTCTGCAGTGTTTTGCCTCATTCCCTTTGCCCCTACAACTCTCCACCTTTTTGTGGATTAAGTTATCCCCATGATAAAACTATTATGTTTTCTTCCCTCTTTGACTTTCTTGTTGGAAGCCTGGCTCTTCCCAGGGATCTAAGCGTCTATCCTCTCTCCCTTCTGTAGCTTTTTTCCCCTACTGCAGCATAGTGGGCCCTGTCAGAAAAGAAGATGTACATCATCAATTTCTTTCCTCCTTTCTATCCTTAGGACAATTTTTGATGGACAATAAAACACTTTTGCTTTCCACGTCTCCTGTAAACAAAACAAAACAACACAACAACCAGAAATCCTGGAGGTTGCTGCCCTGGGGCCACTTACTGAGGCACTGAGGTCTGAGTGCTGGGCCTTGCTGACCAGAGTAGGAGGAGCTGCGGCCTGGCCACACCCCCCGAGGTTGGGTGGTTGATGGCTGCCAGAGGAGGGGAGTACCATCAGGAAGAATAACGGGGACAGGGGTGCTCAACAGGGGTTAATTCACAAAACATGAAGGCATGTTGTGTTGTCACATTGGCACAGGTAGGTAGGGCCCAAGGATGCCAATAAGCATCCTAGCTGAACAGGACAGACCCCTACAACAATCGCCTGATCCAACATGCCGGTAGTGCCCAAGTTGAGAAACCCCGCAATAAGCTTGGGTTGCAAACTTTGTACCAAGAAGGAGGATTATCTGCAGACAACTCAAGGGCAGTGACATCACCTACTTTTGTTTTCCACGACTGCCGTGTTGTTTACATTCATCGCCATTCGTTCCCAGCACACGGTGTCTACATATTGTCTAGCAGCCTCCTGTTTCCTCATAGATCTGCCCCTTGGATAGATATGAGCATCAGAGGGAGCAGGGCTACAGTTCACTCCCAACAATGACCCTTCAACAGGGTTTTCTCTGAACTAGCATCGCAGTCATGTGGGTTAGGTGACTGTAGCTGGTACTCAGGTGAAATCTCAGGCCAGTCTCTTCTGAATCAGGGGGACTGCTGACCATTAATCAGACCTTCACGTGAACAAAGATTCAAGAGAGCAAAACAATGTTCTGCATTATTGTGAAGGGGAAGCAAAGGATCCAGAGAGGAACAGCAGCCTGACTCTGAGGGAAGGGCATGAAAGGGAGAGGAAGGGAGGAGGTGGTCAAATCCCAGGTAAGGAGCAGGGAGGGAGGGGGCTGATGGCACAGGAATGACTGTCAGAGACACATCCTGGAGGCCACAAGTCCAGGCTCTCAACTATTCCCAGAAATTCCAAAAACTCTTTAATGTAGCAAGCGCAGGGCATGAAAAGGAGGAGACATGCTAGAGGAGAGCCTGGGAATGGGGAAATGATTACAGGCTGTGACCTCACTGGCGCAGCCCCCTCAGCGGCAGTGGAAAGCACAGCCTAGACTTCTCACCACTGCACACCAGAATCCTGCCCTGGGCCTTGCCTGGTCTGCCTGACTCTGCCATGGGCTGCAGGCTCCTCTGCTGTGTGGCTCTCTGCCTCCTCCAAGCAGGTGAGTCCTGGGACCAGGTGACATGATACTGTTGGAGTCTCTAAACCTTTTCACCATGACAACAGCAGGCTACCTCCTGGGATTTGCCTGAATTCTGCTTCTTTCCTTTTCAGGTCCCTTGGACACAGCTGTTTTCCAGACTCCAAAATACCTAGTCACACAGACGGGAAAGAAGGAGTCCCTTAAATGTGAACAAAATCTGGGTCATGATACTATGTATTGGTATAAGCAGGACTCCAAGAAATTGCTGAAGATAATGTTTATCTACAGTAATAAGGAGCCCATTTTAAATGAAACAGTTCCAAATCGCTTCTCACCTGACTCTCTAGACAAAGCTCATTTAAATCTTCACATCAAGTCTGTGGAGCTTGGTGACTCTGCTGTATATTTCTGTGCCAGCAGCCAAGGCACAGCCCTGCAGATGCATCACGTACTTGTGCACAAACCTCCCGGCTCAGCCAGGAAGCTGTGGGCCAGTGTGTGCACCTGCACCCAAGGCTCCAGTCTCCACTCCCTGATGGCCTCTGATGGAGTTTCAGTTTGTAGTATGGCCGGCTAGTGCACCCAGTGGAGAAATCCTCCATTTTATGCACACAAAGTCTCAAAGAATTATTTCTCGGCTAGAGCAGGGCTTCACAACAAAGCCACTGAAGTATTAGGGCTCCACAAACAAAAACGGAGCCTGTTCCAAGCACTAAAGATCTTAACTGATGGAGGAAACCATTTATTGTCTTTCTGTGCTGCACACATTTATTCATATTTTATATAACATTATGAAAAAAATATGATTGCTAAAAATGGTTGATGAGCACAAGCATAAAGGAGAGGGAAGGAAATATTTCTAAGATCAAGAGACAATTCTGATGATCAGTAAGTACTTTATTTAACAGAGAAATATTTGGAGAGGCATGAAATTCCATGGCAATAGGTAAACTGGAAAGTGTTGAGGAGAAGCCGGTGGAGGCAGCCTTGTGCCTTGTAGACTCCTTCTCTTCAAGAAGTGTGACAAGCAAGTGTCTCTCCAATTCTGATGAATGTCATCTTGAACTCTTCTCAAGAGTAGGCGACAGCTGGATGACTGGGGATATTGGGAGACACGGAAAGGACTTTGGACACAAATCTCTAGGCAGTGGTGAGCCATTGGTCCTACTCCAAGTGAAACAACATGATGAAACTGGTATTTTGGTACAGGAACACTGGTAGTAGTATGGATCAGAAAGGAGATAGATTTTTGGGTAGCGTGAAGGATTAGGAGACTTCTAAATATCCTACATGAAAGGTTAGAAAGGGTTTATGAGAAACATTGTGGATGACATAGGCTTGAGGCTCTGGTTTATGTTATCTCTTGGAAATAGTATTGAGTTTTATCTGGGAAGGTTGAATGTAGGACTAGCTAGGGTCTATTTCAGCTTTGCCCTCCCTCTTAGGGAGCCCCAGCATGTGGTCATCATTGCTAGTGTATGCCTTTCCAGGGTCTTAGTGGGAATCATGGTGTTCCCACCACGACTCTCCACTCTCACTGGGTCTGAATGCCTTCTGGGCCTGAGTATCTTCTGACATCCCTGCCCATGTCTTCAGCCTTCCAGAGTTTGTTCCCTGCTGGGCCTTCAGGAGTGCCACCCTCTGCATGCATAACTTAGGATCTGGCCCAGAAAGAAAAATAAAAAATAAAAAAGATTTTCTTACACGAGTTCTTGGGGCTCCTTGTTAGTACTCTGTGTCCTAAATCCCAGCTGTCTTGGAGTCAGTTAAGTCCTCTTGTCTTCAATCACATATACTGCTTCTATTTTATATAAATATGTTTGCTTGACTTTTTTCATATTTACCATTCCACTCTTCACTCTTCTTGCAATTCACACAATCCTGAGATCATTTTCCTTCTTAGGTCCTTTCCTAATTCAGATGACTTGAGCTCTCTGGTCACCACCCCTTGTTGTGGGAAATGCTTATGTTAGCTATTGTCCTCAGGAAAGTTAAACCTTTTACTTCCAGCATTATTTAAGGTTTCTGTTTAAACTCTATTGCTTTTTTTTTTTTCATTGTCCTTGCAATTGGGTTTACTTATTGGGAACTAAACAATGCAATAAATTTTTATTTGTTCAAATTTGTTCTATTTCTTTGTAGAAGGACCAAAGTGTTTTCTTGCTGAAGTAGATACCAATTGAAATAATTTTAATAGGAATGATATTAGAGTTTGAAACAAGATTAATTTTAGGTTTTTATCTAGTATAGCAGGTTAGAGGTCCATCCTATATGTAACCCGTTGAGGGGAAGAATATTCAACCCCACTTTCTTAAAATCCAATCTACATTCCTTTACCTTTTTTTTTTTTTTTGCTTTATGGGCCACAATGAAAATCTGATAATGTGTATACATTAGAGGAATGCTAAAATTTTCTTCCTGACTGAACATATCCCCAGGTTAAAACAAACCTAAATTATAAATCCTTGACTTAAATCATGGATAAGTATCCTCCCTAGGCCCAGTGTAGATTTACATATAACATAGATTTACGACCCTAATCTCACTCCTACAATTGCAATGATCATCACAAAATGGTAATACTGCTGTAATACAACAATAAATAGATGGTAAAAATCATTTAGAAAGTATGAATCATCTCATTTTTGTGTTTATTTGTGTTCATTTGTATCTTCACATGTTCTAGAATGAAAAGTCAATATTGGCATAACTTTACATTTTAAGAAAATTGATGATATTCTAATAACTAAATGGTCACAAAGCATAAATAGCGTATGCAGCGAAATAGAAATGACCCATAGGAATTCATCAAGCTGGTTTCAAGTTGGAAAACTCTCCATAGAACTGATGACCTAATGTGGTTTCTAACATTTTAGAAATGGAAGGGCTTTGGAGATCATCTCCTTTCAGTTCCCCTGATTTAATATATGAGGAAATGTGGCATCACATATATGAAGTGATTGAACAATGACATACTGATTACATGTCTCAAACTTTATGTAAGATACATTTTTATTCTCTAGCTGGTCAGGGTCTTGCTCTGTCTAGAGTGCAGTAACACAATCATGGCTCACTACAGCCTTGACTTCCCTGCTCAAGCAATCCTCTCACCTCAGCCTCTTGAGTGGCTGGGACTACAGACATGCACCATCACATCCGGCTAATTTTTGGTAATTTTTGTAGAGATAAGGTGTTGCAATGATGCCCAGACTCAGACATAGACAATTACTGTTGAGTAAAAATTTAGAATGTCCTAGGTGTGTGGATACCTGGTGTTCCGACTGCTGACTCTCTGTGTTGTTGCCAACATCTCTTTCCTTTTCATTCTCCCCTGGCCTTTCAAACCCATCTCTGCTGCCCAGGGATGTGGGATATGGATCCAGTCTGGATCCTGACACTGGGTTGGTGAGTGGCCAAGTGCTGCTTTGGCCACAGGGAGGAGCTGTGCTCCTGTGAAATCTCTGAGGCAGGGACCTGGGGAAGGGATAGAGAGTGAGAGGAGAGATGGGCCAGGAGGGATCTTGCCCATGGGGAGCCATCCGTACCTCAAATGAGAGCATGGCTGTACTCAGGTCAAGCACACTAACATCAGCTTCAAGCTGATTTCCCTTTCCTTTGCACCACACACCTTGCGTTGTTCTTTTTCGGCATCCTGTGTATGTTTGCTCTAAGCCCAGCCAAGCCTCATGCCCTCCACTACAGGGACAGAAGGTAGCTCATCCCTTTCGTGCTCCCTCAGCTCCCTCCCCAGTGCCTGGTTGCTGGTTGGCATCACAGTCATACCCTTGAATGATGGGCACTGGTCCACACTGCATCTGTGGTCATGCAGTCATCCTCCCTCCACAGAACCGGGCAAAAAGGGCTCCACCGTGTTTAGACATTGAGAGAAGGGACATTTTGAATGGTTCTGTCTTGTGTGATCCCGCAGGACAGAAGGAGATTCCTTGAATGGGGGTGGTCTGTTGCTGAGAGGAATCCTGAAAGACAGGGAGACAGAGATAGAGGGAGGATCCACTAAATGAGGAAGCAGCTGAGAGCAAAGAGCCCCTGCCAGAGGAATATCCTTGGGGGGTGAAAAGCTGGCTCTGTCCTTTCTGCCCAGCCCATTCATCCCAGCCCAGACTATTCAAATCTACCTTCTATCAGAACTTAGGGTGTAAAACGGCTAGGAAGAAACATCCCCTGGGTCTGGGGAAACTGTCAGGAGCAGTGACATCACAGAGAAAACCACCAATCAGGGCCAAGGAGACCAGAGCCCAGCCTATCACCCAGAGGACCCCAGTCAGAGGCCTCATCTCAGACCGGACGCTAGCATGGGCTGCAGGCTGCTCTGCTGTGCGGTTCTGTGTCTCCTAGGAGCAGGTGAGCTAGGTTCAAACTGTCTGTCCTTGAACTTCAAGCTTTTTCCTTGTGGCTGCAGCAACAACCCACCTCCTGGGCTCTGCCTGAATTTTGTCCCTTTCCTCCTACAGTCCCCACAGACACTGGAGTTACCCAGACACCAAAACACCTGGTCATGGGAATGACAAATAAGAAGTCTTTGAAATGTGAACAACATCTGGGGCACAATGCTATGTACTGGTACAAGCAGAAAGCTAAGAAGCCACCGGAGCTCATGTTTGTCTACCAGTATGAGAAACTCTCTATTAATGAAAGTGTGCCCAGTCGCTTCTCACCTGAATGCTCCAAGAGCTCTCTCCTACACCTGCACCTACGCGCCCTGCAGCCAGAAGACTCGGCCCTGTATCTCTGTGCCAGCAGCCAAGACACAGCCTTGCAGAGTCATCACTTTCCTGTGCAGAAACCTTCGGGGCCTGCCGGGAAGCTGTGGGGGCCACGGAGGGCTCGGGTGAGCATTTCCTGCAAGAGCCCCGACAGAAGCTTCAGAACATCACAGCACCTGCTAATTCATCCATGTGGCAACTTTACATCCTGTGCACTTATTTAGAGTGTGGGTTTTCTTTTGCCTGAGTGTGACTCTGCCCTGCCAACTGCTTTGAAAAAACGATAAACATATTCAGATCTACTTTTAAAAAATGCTTTTTTAAAACCATGAAATAGGCTGGGCATGGAGGCTCAGGCCTGGCCTATAATCCCAGTACTTTGGGAGGCCGAGACGGGCAGATCATGAGGTCAAGAGTTTGAGACCAGCCTGGCCAATATGGTGAAACCCTGTCTCTACTAAAAATACAAAAATTAGCTGGGCATGGTGGCATATGCCTGTAGTCCCAGCTACTTAGGAGGCGGGAGAATCGCTTGAACTTGGGAGGTGGAGGTTGCTGTGAGCCGAGACTGCACCACTGTACTCCAGCCTGGGCGACAGAGTGAGATACCATCTAAAAATAATAATAATAATAATAATTCTGAAATAAAGCAAGCATGCTGTAAGGATTGTTTAGCTTAAAATTTTAGAAGAACCCTCTAATTAATCACCTGTGTCACCACAGAGTCACACCCTGCACTGGTTCAGACACCGTCCTGTGAGGAGCCATGTTCTCCTGACACTTCATGTCCAGTGGTTTTCATGACTCTTCTTTGGGACCAAGGGTTCCCTTCCATCATAGGTTGTTGTCATGCAGAGTCAAGCAGCACTGAGCATTGGGAAATCAGAGAACGAACTTCCAGGCAAAGGTCCCAGTCCAGAAGTCAGCTAGAAAGGACAGTAGTAGACTTACTCTTTGGGAAATGTGTTTGAGAAATATGCATCAATTTTCACCACTTCTATTGTTCTATATTCCGGTTTGTCTGTTCTCTAATTTCTCGTTTTTACACTGAAAGCTAGACTGTGGATTCTAGCCCTGATCAAAGCTCCGAATGTGCACAGACACCTTCTCTGAACCCTGCAGGCAGCAAACGTGCCTCTGTCTGCTCCCCCTGCTCTAGAGCCCGTGGATCACGGTCTAGAAGCTTCCTGACTCATCCACTCTCCTTCCCTTGGCTGGAAGTCTCCTTGTCGGTTTCAGGTCTCAGCTCCTCCCTGGATTTCCTCTCCAGACTGACATTTGAAGGATTATTTTCCCCCTACGGTCTCTTTATTCCCAGTGTGTTAAATCATCAGGCTCAGAGCCTGATGCCTCCAGAGCTCTACATTAGCCTTTAAAGAGGAGAGTGGGTCCTGGCTGTTCTGTTTACGTCTTTTTTCATTCACTAATTCATTCATTCATTTATGATAGAGACAAAAGGCTCCTTATCCCAAGATATATGGTCATTTGTGCTGTATCAAAAGAGAAGATATTCTTGTCACAGTTTTATGAAATGAGGTAGCTTCGCAACTTGGGGGAAAGCAACCTTTTAAGTTAGTTGTCAAAATTATCCTTTTGCCTAAGTTAAGTTAGGATCCTAAATTGGGCTCCTACCCTCCCACAAAAACTGGGCGACAGGGACTCTATCTTCCTTGATGATTACATCTCAAAATATGGTTCCCAGGAAAGCCTGGGAAAGGAAGGTCTTGGGAAAGGCATTCCTGGGTCATAAAACTGGCAAGAAATTTATATAGATTTTAACAGGATTTACACACATTTCAAAGAGACAAAGGAAGAATTTTGAATTTCAAGGCTTTGAAACTAAATGCTCTTAGAAAAGGGGTGAGGAGGAGTTTCTTGCATTACTTTTCACAGGAAAAATTAAGCCTCTTTTATTTATTTTGCATTTTCCCTTACAGTAGCAGTAGATGAGTTGATACTTTAAAGCCTCCGGACCCAGCCACCCTGATGCGGTGGGGAGGTCATGGGGAAAATGGGAAGGGAGTTTAGCTGTGGGGTTTCCCTGACAGATCTGCCCTGATTCAGGAGCACAGTCCTTAAAGAACCACAAAAGCCTGAGCACACAGGCAGAATCTGGCTCTCAAGCTTAGCAATGCAGACACCTGAGTACTGGGGACTTTATTTGCAGCAAAAGACCCTTTCCCTCCCCAGTCCCTGCCCCTGGCAGCAGCAGGCAAGGCCAGTGTTTCAGGCAGGTGGGAAGAAAGGCAGGACCCTTGGGAAACCCTGGCCAGCAGCACCCATGAGGCAACCCTTACAGAGCTCAACCGAAGGGGCAACGTATTTTGTGAACAGTAAACAACTCTGGGCTCCTTAGGAATATAAGGAAATCAAGCCCTGGGTGAGGCTGGACTTCCAGGGATGCTGGTATGTTCAGGCCTAGAATTAGTACCATTCGGATACCCGTGAATACGTGGCCTTCATTTGTAACAACTGTGTAGTGAGCTCTGTGAACGTGTAATCACATTTACATAAGTCATTTTAGAAAAGTGCTAGTTGAAAGAATAAATGCAGAAATATTAATTATTGTTAACTCTGGAGAATGGGATATATTTTTGTTACTCTCAGTGAACTATGTAGTATTAAGTGTTCAGTTACATGCATTTTATCAAATGCAGTCACTCCGGTAACACCACCACGACCAAAATGTGGAGTATTTTATCACTTCTTAAGAGGAAGTGTTCCCCTTTCTTTCAATGTCCCCTGAAACCTAGGGCAAATTTTATTAAAATGTCCCTAAGTAGTTAGTATTTTTGATGCTATATATTTTTTAAATTTCAACCTTTATTTTAGATACAGGGGGTACATATGCAGGTTTGTTACTTGGGTATATTGCACCCAGGTAGTGAACATAGCACCCAATAGGTAGTTTTTCAACCCATGCCCCCTTCTCCACTCCTCCCTCTAGTAATCCACAGTGTCTCTTCTTTGCATGTTTATGTCCACGTGTGCTCAATGTTTAGCTCCAACTTGTAAGTGAGAGTATGCATGTATTTGGTTTTCTGTTCCCAATATACAGAAGCTATAATGATTTTAGACAAACCAACAAGCAGAAAACAAGTAACCCCATTTAAAGATGGGCAAAGGACATGAAGACTTTTCAAATGATAATATTTTTAATGGCACTCCTTAATTCCAAATTCTTCTTGCTTTCACATTTACATAGAAATACAGTTTAATTTGGTATATTTAAAATGTATCCTAAAATTTTGCTAGACTCATTTATTATTTCTGGTAGGATTTTGTACACTATTTAGGGTTTTCCACATAGGTGCTTGGGTCCTCTGTGAATAAAGACTGTTTAACATCATCCCCTACCCTCTGTGCTTTGCTAGGAGCTCCATGACCATGTTGAAAAGAAGGGATGAGGATGGGCATCCTGTTCTTCTTCCTAATCTTTGGGGAAAAAATTCAGTCATTTTTTCAGTTTTTGACCATTAAGTATGATATTAGCTATAGATGTTCCATGAATGCCTTTTATAAGGTAGAGGACTTTTTTTGTTGTTGTTGTTCCTAGTTTGCTAAGAGTTTTTAATCAGAACATTGAATTTTTGGGAAATAATTTTTCTATATCTATTAAGATGATTATAAAAAATTGTTTCTTTCCAAGTTCTATTTTAGTTTTAAGGGCTACATGTGCAGGTTTGTTACATGGGTAAATTGCATGTCGTGGGTATTTGGTATCCAGATAATTTTGTCACCCAAGTAATCTGTTTAATACCCAATTGGTAGTTTGTTAATCCCTACCTTCCTCTCACCCCCCACCTTTCTGTAAGCCCCAGTGTCTACTGCTCCTTTGTTTGTGTCTATGTGTGCTCAATGTTTAGCTCCCACTTATAAGTGAGAACATGTGTGGTATCTGGATTTCTGTTCCTGGGTTAATTCACTTAGGATAATGTCCTCCAGCTCTCTCTACGTTGCTGAAACGAATGTGTTCTTGTTCTTTTTATGGATGCATAGTATTTCATGGTGTATATGTAGCACATTTTCTTTATCCAGTCCACATTGATGGGCATTGAAGTTGATTCTATGTCTTTGCTATTGTGAATAGTGCTACATTGAACATCGTGTGCATGTTATCTTTATGGTAGAGTGCTGTATTTCTTTTGGTATATTAATTGGATTGCTGGGCCGAATGGTAGGGTTTTTTGTTGTTGTTGTTGTTGTTGTTGTTGTTTGAAAAATCTCCAGACTACTTTCTACAGCGGTTGAACTAATTTACATTCCCACCAACAATGTATAAGCTTTCCATTTTCTCTGCAATCTTGCCAGCATCTGTTATATTTTGACTTTTTAATAACAGTTATTCTAACTGGTGTAAGATGGTATCTCATGGTGGTTTTCATTGAACATTTTTTTCATAGGCTTGTAGGCTTCATGCATTTCTTCTTTTGAAAAGTGTCTATTCATGTCCTTTGCTCATTTTTCTTTTTTGAGATGCAGTCTTGCTCTGTTGCCCAGGCCGGAGATCGGCTCACTGCAAGCTCTGCCTCCTGGATTTACTGCCATTCTCCTGCCTCAGCCTCCCGAGTAGCTGGGACTACAGGCGCCCGCCACCACGCCTGGCTAGTGTTTTTTTTTTTTTTTTTGTATTTTTTAATAGAGACGGGATTTCACCATGTTAGCCAGGATGGTCGTGATCTCCTGACCTCGTGATCCGCCCGTCTCAGCCTCCTAAAGTGCTGGGATTACAGGCTTGAACCACCGCGCCCGGCTGAATGTCTTCTATTCTTTCTCTTGTGTGATTGCTCTTGCTATGTCTGCCACTGCTGTGTCGATTGGGAATGGTGAGAATGAGCATCTTTGTCTTGTTCACAGGAATGCTTCCAGTTTTTGCTTCTTCAGTGTGTTATTAGTTGTGCTATGTCATAGATAGTTCTTAATATTTTGAAATATGTACTTTCAATGCCTAGTTTGTTGAAGGGGTTTTAACATGAAGGAATGTTTAATTTTATCAAAAGCCTTTTCTGTATTTATCGAGATGATCATCTGGGTTTGTTTTTAGTTCTGTTTATGTGGTGAATCACATTTGTTGATTTGTGTATGTTGAACCAATGTTGCATCCGAGGAATGAAGCCTACTTGATTGTGGTAGATAAACTTTTTGATGTGCTGCTGGATACAGTTTGCCAATATTTTGTTAAAAATTTTCGCATCGAATTAAATAATTTTTAAGTATGGTGACTTACATTAATTGCTTTTTAAATATAGAACCAATTATGCATTCCTGGGGCAAATCTCACTTA